AATATGGGACAACCATATAAAGAAAACCCATATTTAACTCTTCAATTTCCCTTTCTACGAACGCGAAAATGACGTTAAGTTCCCATTCACTCATAAATGGTTTTGACGAACTGTTTGCACCTTGTGACTTGTCATACGGCTAGGAACATGTCATCTCTTTGGACCCATCCCAAAAGACGTGTAGGACCCACTCAAATTTTGGCTCAAAGTTAGTCCAAAATAAGCCTTTAAAAAACCACAAATTCCAACAATCCCCCACATGAATGAAATTTGATGGAGAGAAAATGTAATAACATGATCTAATTATTGAGAGTACAGAAATTGAAAATATTCTGCAAAGGATAGGTAGCTTTTGGCTTTAAACCTTCCCTTGTGAGACACTATCGGATTTACTAGCTAACTAGTGAACATGATGTCTTAAACTGTTCAGCCATTTGTGTAAACCAAAACAATAGAACTCATACAGTATATTACCAGACACAGTTTAGTTCTCATTATCGTGTTCATTTTGACCCTGAACAACCTTGTCTTTTATGAGTTCTCTAAAGAATTATAGCCTTTCACAAATCTCATAGAACCGGCCCAATTCTTTTTCACATAAGTGATTCTTATGAAGATTATCCTGCTATACTCCACTAGGTATACCTAGATATAAGAATCATTAAAAGTATTACTTAACCTAAAACACTGTAGACATCACTATGTCATCATGGAAATGGATAGGAGTTTGACTCCTCAATGATCCTTATGAGTCATACACAACTCGGTTGTCCCTTTGAACCTAGATCTTGGGATCTCCAGTCAACTAGGTTGGGTTTCCGTTGTGGTAACTTTTATTTAATAGGCTTAAGTCCCATTCCCTCAATGAATTCTTAACTAACTCTCTTGCTAACCCTTTGGTTAGTGGATCCGCTATGTTGTCTTTAGACTTCACATATCCAATGGAAATAATTCCATTAAAGAGTAGTTGTCTCACGGTGTTATGTTGGTGACGAATGTGTTATGACTTACCGTTATACATATGACTCTGTGCTCTACTTACTACTGATTGGCTATCACAATGTATGCATATAGCAGACACCGATTTTGGCCACATTGGAATATCTTCAAGGAAGTGACGAAGCCATTCTACTTCTTCCCCAACTTTATCTAAAGCTATAAATTATGATTCCATAGTAGACCTAGCAATGCAAGTCTGTTTGGAAGATTTCTAAGATACAGTCGCCCTACCAAGAGTAAAGACATGCCCACTGGTGGATTTGGAATTTCTAGTATCTGATATCCAATTTGCATCACAGTATCCTTCAAGTATTGCTTGATATCTAGTATAATTGAGCCCAATATTTATATCTGGGCGAGTGCAATTCATCAAATATATTAAGCTTCCAATAATTTGGGCATCCTCTAATTGAGAAATACTTTCCAGTACATTTTTAGAAAGAAACAAATTAATATCCACAGGTGTTCTAGCAAGATGATCATCATCTTTGCTAAATTTGTCAAGTATTTTTTCAATATAATGTGATTGTGACAAAGCATATCCTTATGATATTTTGGTAATTTTCATACCAAGAATTACATCAACAATCCTCATGTCCTTCATGTCAAAATGTTTATTTAACATTTTCTTGGTAGTTTTAATCATGTCATTATTACTACCTATGATGAGTATATCATCTACATAAAGGCATACTATAACATAACCTTTGTCTGTGTTTTTAATATAAACACATTTGTCACATTCATTAATTTTAAACCCATTTGACATTATTACCTTGTCAAATTTCTCATCACATTACTTTGGCACTTGTTTTAAACCATATAATGATTTAACTAATTTACACTCTGTTCCATGTAAATTTTTTCATCTAAATCACCATTTAAGAAAGCAATTTTTACATCCATTTGATAAATTTCTAGATTGTACAAAGATGCAATAGTAATTAGCATTTTAATGGATGTTATTCTAGTAACTGGTGAGTACGTATCAAAGTAATCAAGACCTTTTTTTTTTGTCTATATCCTTTGACCACAAGTCTTACCTTATATTTGTCAATTGATCCGTCTACTCATTTTTCTCTTGAAAATCTACTTGTACCCAGGAGGTTTATAACCTAGTGGTAGATCCACCAATTCCAAAGTGTAATTTTGCAAGATGGGTTAAACTTCACTATTTACAGCTTCTTTCTATAAAGAAGCCTCAGGACTGGACATAGCTTCTTTAAAAGGTAAGGGCTCATTTTCTAACAAAAATGTTAGAAAATATGGACCAAAAGATTTTGAGGTTCTAGCACGTTTACTACGCCTAGTTCATCTTCCTCATTTTCATCTATCTTATGCTCTTGATCATGTTCTTGATCATAACTTGTGACGCCCCAAAATTTATGGATATCATAATAAGATTTAGAACTTAAAATCAATATTGCCACCAATATTACTAACATCCATTAATTAACAACCCAGAATTTAAAGTTCTGACATTACAACTTAGTCTTAGTACATAAAAGAAATAACACAAATATAAAAAGAAAACTAGAGAAAGACTAGAAATTTTAGAAAATAATTCATGGAACTTGGCACTCTTCAAGCTAACCAAGGTTGAATGTCACCCTGCAAGGCCTCGGTGTTCCCTTTGGTTTCTTCGGTACCTGGCATAATGCCAGGGCAACGGGAATGCCAATGAGCGACGAGCTCAATAAGATACTACAACCCGAAAATACCCACCCCGATAATAATACTCACAGTTAATGAATACTGTGTAGTTAACAGAATAACAAGCAGCATTTAATGAGCATAACATGAATGCTATCAGTTGAAGTAATAATAATAGATAATAAAAACAATGGCAAACGGAAACAATATTTCATCATAAGGAAAAATGCTAACTTTTTTTTTTTAATTCACATAGATTTAGTTTATCAGATAAGTTTAAGTAACTCCCCGCGAAGCACTACTTCCACTCAACCGCTAAACAATGGCCACGGGCAATTCTGACTCCCCCTTGGTCAAATATTCAAATGTTGCTTACTGTAACTGCCAATGATACCCACGCACCAGGGTTACGTACTCGAGTCGTGACATCACGATCTGCCCCAAAGGAACGGTCTACGTTGTGACACCCGCACCACCAACCTTATATCGCCTACACCGATAAGAGCCGAAATACCTTCCCGTGCCATGTTAAGGTTCGCAACTCACTTATGCAAAATTCTAAACCGGACTTACCCCATCACTTTTAAACTTTAATGCATCGGTTCAATTTCGTGTTTCTTTACTTGTTGAGTTATTCACAATAATTCAAAATTTAATTATCAATAATGTTATACTAACTCATTAAAATTCCCAACATAAAATATTACACATGTCACACAATAATAAACAAATGTACAAAATTTAAATAAACAATTTATTTAAACCATGATATGAAATAATAATGTAGATACCAAAAAGAAAAAATAAATCATAGTCACACACATGCATGGATTTTTAATCTATAAGATTACACTAGCACCATATTTAATTTTGATCCAAATAAACAATTGAAGAGATAATTTTTTATTCCTCCTTAATCTGCCAAAATTTTTCAGAATGTATATCTCGAAATTAAAATTATAAATAAATTACTTATACAACTCTAAAAATCATATAAATCTACAGAATACTCAATAAACATGTTATGGTCATTTTTCAGAAGGCATTTTCCAAAAATAAATTATAAATAATTCTGAAAAATTCCAAAAAGTTTATGACACAGATTTATCACATTTTCTTAAATTAATTTCATACTTAAATTTATAAATCAATTCCATAATCTAAAAATTTATTATGAAACTAGACTTCTCAAGTTTCATTTTTTGTTTAGAAATTACCAGATTTGGTTTAATATAGAATTTCTTTTATGAATTTTCAAACATATAGTAAATTTGTCTTGCAGCTCTAGATTTAACTAAAAATTTGTATAAATTCGTACAAAACTCAATAATTGTTGAAAAATTTTGTGGATGAACTAGACATCATTATCAACAACTTTGCAGAAGAAATCATCTTCAAATTTTGAGTATAAAATTGTCTAAAAATTAGTACAAATGTTCTAAAAGATTTAATGGCCAAATAAAATCTTCAATAATCTTTTTAATGGCATATACTACACATGCAAGTCCAAATTCCACAATATTAGCACGATTTTAAGACTACCAATATCTTCAAATATTTGATATACAAATCATAAATTTGCATACAACTATAAATAAAATTCTACTTACAAATTTAGTCATTTTATCATATAAATATAATCTGAAAATTTCAACATTTAAAAAAAATGAGAGGGTTGAGAAGGTTTTCTTACTTAGTTGTAGGATTGAAATGGAATAGTGAAATGGTAGGAAAATATGCAACCTTCTTAACCTCCTCCTCTTATTGTCTTACTCCACTTCGCAGATTTTCTTTTCTTCCCTCATTCTCTGAATGCAAGCATGCATGTATATATATACACAATGCATTGCTAAGGCTTCCTTTATATCTCTCTCTCTCTCTCTCTCTCTCTCTCTCTCTCTCTTCATTCTAAGTAGTCACTTTCCCTCAATTCCAAGAGCATAATGAGCTCTTCTTCCCTATATTAACATGCAAACAACCATGTGGCAAAGTTGCCACCGAAATTTGCAATTTATATATATATATAATTGTGTATTTGTGTGGGTTGCTTAAAATTGATACACTAAGATTTTTAACTAAGGTATTTAGTAAGAATAATTATCATGTTGAATCCTAATTAAAATAATTTATAAACGATAAATATTGAATACCCACAAAATTATTATTCTTAATAATGTCTTTGTTAGTGATTGAATTGGGTTAATTTAAAACTAACTTTACACTAATATATATTTCGGATAGACTCTAGATAAAATTAATTAATTTATTTATTTATTTATTTTCTTTTAAGAATAATTAAATGCGGGTTTTCACAATCTACCCTCCTAAAAAAAATTCCGTCCTCGAAATTAATTCATACTTTTAGACTTGAAAGTTGGAGGGTAATTGGCACGTATCATATCTTCTCGTTCCCACGTTGACTCCTCTATACCACAATGCTGCCATAACACTCGCACTAAGTGGATGACTTTGCCTCGTAGGTTCTTTTCTCGTCGATCCATAATCTTTAAAGGCATTTCCTCAAAACTTGCATCTTCATTGAGATCAATCTCTTCCCAGTTGATAACATGGGAAGGGTGTGACTCATATTTCCGTAACATTGAGATGTGAAAAACATTGTGCACCACTGCGAGCTGTGGCGGTAGTGCTAAATGGTATGCCATTTCTCTTACTTTGCTCAGAATTTCGAAGGGTTCTACATATCGAGGTGCAAGTTTTCCTTTCTTCCCAAATCGTGTCGCACCTCGACAAGGTCAAACTTTGAGAAAAACATGATCCCCTACCTCAAACGTTAAGGGTCGTCTCCTTTGATCCGCATAGCTCTTTTGTCGACTTTGGGCTGTAGTTAGTCGTTGTTTGATCAGTTTTATCTTCTCAGTGTCTCCTGAACCAAGTCTGGTCCTAACAAGGTTACTTCCCCTACTTCAGTCCAACAGACTGGTGACCGACAGGGTCGTCCATAAAGTGCCTCATTCGGTGCCATTCCAACGCTAGCCTAGAAACTATTGTTGTAAGCGAACTCAACGAGAGGTAGGTGTTTCTCCCAACTTCCCTTAAAATCCATAACGCAAGCTCGAAGCATATCCTCCAAGGTTTGTATTGTCCTTTCAGATGGCCCATCAGTTTGAGGGTGAAATGTTGTGCTAAAGCATAAGTTCGTTCCCATTGCCTTCTGCAAGCTCTGCCAAAATTGAGAATTGAATCGAGGATCACGATTAGACACGATGCTAACTGGTACTTCGTGTAATCTGATCACTTCTTTGATGAACAATCTACTGAGTGAACCCAACGTATCTGATGACCCAACAGGTAAGAATCGGGCTGTCTTAGTTAGTTGATCTACAACTACCCACACGCTGTTATGTCCCTGTGGTGACCGAGGCAAACCCGTCACGAAATCCATAGTTATGTATTCTCATTTCCACTCCAGAATTGGTAAGGGTTGAAGTGTTCATGCCGGTCTTTGATGTTCTGCATTTACTTGTTGACATGTCAGGCACTGCCCCACCAATATTGGCGTTTTAAGTTTTGGTACATCTTAGTACCTCCCAGATGTACTACGAATACTGAATGGTGGAATTCCTTGAGTACCTTTTCCCTTGGTGAGTTGTCACTTGGCACAAACATTTGACCTTGATATTTCAAACTCCCATCAGTGTGAATTTCCCAACCAGGCATGGTTTCACTAGATTCCATTTGTGCCTTGATGAATGCTACCTCATGATCGTACTTTTGTGATTCCAATATCTCGCTCAAAATTTTAGGCGTAACAATCTGAGCACCAAGGTAAGCCTTTTCTTCTTGAACCCCCATTTGCACCCTAAATTCATTGAGCGTTCTAACCATATTTTATTCTGTAAGTGCTAAACTAGCAACAATCCCTCTATTCTTGTGACTTAGTGCACCTGCTACCACATTAGCCTTGCCGGGATGATAGGAAAGGGTAAATTGGTAATCCTCGAGATACTCCATCCAACATCTCTGACGCATGTTCAGATCCTTTTGGGTGAACAGATACTTCAAGCTTTTGTGATCAGTGAATATCTCAAACTTTTCACCATACAAGTAGTGTCTCCAAATTTTGAGTGCGTGAACTATAGCTACTAACTCCAAGTCATGGGTGGCATAATTCTTCTTATGGTTCTTTAATTTCCTTGATCCATATGCCACCACCTTGCCATTTTGCATCAATACGCACCCCAAACATTATTTGGAAGCATCACAATACACGTTGTACCCAACGTCACGTTCTGGCACTATGAGAATAGGGGCACTCGTCAATCTTTTCTTAAGTTCTTGGAATGAATTATCACAAGACTTGTTCCATTCAAACTTTAACCCCTTTTGAGTCAAATGTTTAATTAGTTTGGCCAATTTTGAGAAGTCTTGAATGAATCTTCGATAGTAACCAGCCAATCCTAAGAAACTACGAATCTCAAATGTGTTCTTAGGTTGCCTCAATTTTGTCACTGCTTCTACTTTAGTTGGGTCTACTGATATTCCCTTTTCAGATACCATGTGACCCAAAAACTTTACTTCCTCATCCATAACTCACATTTACTAGCCTTAGCATACAGTTGGTTTTCTCTCAAAGTCTGAAGTACTATTCTCAAATGTTGTTCATGGTGTCCTTCAGACTTGGAATACACCAAAATATCATCTATGAAAACTACCAAAAATTGACCTAAGTAAGGCGTGAATATTTTGTTCATTAAGCTCATGAACACGCCTGGTGCATCAGTTAAGTCGAATGGCATCACTACGAATTCATAGTGGTCGTAATGGGTTCAAAATACAGTCTTAAGAATATCTTCCTCCCAAACACGTAACTGGTGATACCCAGACCTGAGGTCTATCTTTGAGAAATACTTCTCTTCTCTAAGCTGATCGAAAAGGTCATTAATCCTAGGTAGCGGATATCGATTCTTAATGGTGACTCTATTGAGTTGCTGGTAATCAATGCACAACCTAAGTGCCCCATCTTTCTTCTTACCAAATAAGGTTGGTGCTCCCCACGGGGACGCGTTTAGCCTTATAAATTCCTTGTCCAATAATTCTTGCAACTGTGTCTTTAACTTTCTCAATTCAGCTGGTGCCATACGATGTGGTGCCATTGAGATCGGTGATGTACCAGGTTGTAGTTCAATGGTAAAGTCCACTTCTCGCTTTGGGGGTAGTCCTAGTAGTTCCTTTGGAAATACATCAGCATACTTACACACCACACAAGGTAGCCCTAGTTCCATACGTTCTTTGTCTTCCAAAACTAAGCTAGCTAGCTACCCAGCTAGGTGATCATGCCACTTTGACTTTCCAAATGTTAGTGATAAGGAATCTTGTCTATCCCCCTTAAACTGGAATCGCGTTTTGTCTTGAGAATAAGCAGTCACCGTTTTTCGATAACAATCAATGATGGCTCTATGGGTTGATAAGCAGTCCATTCCTAGGATAACGTCAAAGTCTGACATTTCCATGACTCGTAAGTCGCAAGTTAAACGTAAACTAGAGACTCCTAGTTTACATGATTTGCATATGAGATCTACTCGAGTTTGACCTCCTAGCAGTGAAGCTACACTCATAGGTGTTTCTAATTGTTCAGGCTCTAATTCCAAAGTTACAACACATGAAGCAGATATGAAAGAGTAGGGGTGAGCAGCGGATATACCGATCCGCCAAAACCAACCGAACCAAACCGTATACCTTGAATCATTGAAGGATTTCCATTGTCTTCTCCTTCTTGGAGTGCAAAGACTCTCCCGGTGGCACCCTGATTTGGCACCCAAGCTTTCCTTACATTGGCATCTCCTGGTTGTTGAGTCCTTGATTGTCTCACATTCTGATTAGCTGGCAGCTGATCTCTGCCGGATTGGGAATTTTGCGTAGCTCGCATTCCCTGAGTTGGCGCGCATTTGTTACGTTGAGTGGCCTCCTCTTGATTGATGTAGTAACCTAACCTTTTAGGGCAATTGTTCCTAAAATGCCCTTCTTGGCCACATTCATAATACCTTCTAGCCCCTTCCTTACCATGTTGTTTTGGATTGCATCCTTGTCGTTGTTATGGCTCCCTAACATAGGGTATCGAAGTAGCATAGGTCCTATTGTTCCTTGAGGGTCCTCCGCTTCTTTGCTGGTTAGCCCTAGACTGCTGACCTTGAGTCCTTGCAGTGTCCATCTTCTCTCTTTCTAGAGTAAAAGCCCTATCTACTACCTGTGCATAAGTAGGTAGCTGCACTGCAACCAACTTGTCTTGGATTCCCAAATCAAGTCCCCACTCAAAACGCCTCACTTTGTCTGTTTTATTTGCCATTATAGCTGTGGTATGGCGAGAAAGGCCCTCAAATCGATTTGCATACTATGTCACAGTCATGCCTCTTTGTTTCAGTTGGAGAAATTCTTGGATCATTTCTTGCCAAAAGTGGTAATTTTAGCGCGAGAATTAAATTTTTTAACAACTAAAAAATAATTAGTAGCCAAAAGTATAGAATTGGCGACTAAAATTATGTTTAGTCGCCAAAAGTAGTCTCTTTTTTCTAGTAAATAATTTATTTTTACATAAATTATGTTCAATAAAAAATAATTATCTATATATATATATACTTTTATATTAATACGGGTCTATGTACTATATAAATAATATATGTTGCATATATAATTATATGGTGTTATAGAGGCGTAGTGGAAAGAGCATGTTGTATAAGGTTTATGGTGTGGGAGGTTGATGGTTCGAACCTCTACAAAAGCTAGCGAGTGTAATTTTTTTTTTCTTTCACGAATGAGCTTTTGGCGACTAAAAGGTTTGGTTGCCGATTCCTTGAGTATTGGCGACTAAAACATTGGTCGGTAAATATATAATTTAAAAAATATAATTGACTATTAGCAACCAAAGTTTTGGTCGCTAAAGACTTGCTTTTTGGCGACTAAAAGTTTTTTAGTCGCCAATATCTTTCCCGACTGTTTTCTGGTGACCAAACCGGGGACTAAAAAATTTAGTCGGGAAACTAAAAAACCAACTTTTGGCGACTAAAAACCGACTTTTGGCGACTAAAAATTTAGTCGCAAAATGTGTTTTTTCTTGTAGTGTAGTCTCAACCATCAAGCTCTTTTCAAATATCTGACCAGTTCTGGAAGACTTTGTGGAACATTGAGGCCCCTCCCAAAACTCAAGCACTTTTGGTGGCAGGTTTGTAATGATCTGCTGGCTACTAAGGTTAATATTTATTGACGTCAATGCTCAACATCTAAGGTATGTCTTGTTTGCTTGAAGGATGACAAATCAGTGGACCATATGTTATTTGATTGTCCGTGCACTGTTGGAAAATTGACTTTTAGCGGCGTTTCGTTTTAAAAACGCCGCTATAGGTATTGAAAACGTCACTAATTCTTTTGGTGACGTTTAGTACCAAACGCTGACGACGCGGCCGTCACTATAGCTTTATGGCGTTTGAAAACGTCGTTATATTAGTATAGGCGGCGTTTTTACAAACGCCGCCAAATGTCCTATCCTAATTGTACTATGACGTCGCTATGACATTTAGCGACGTTTTGGAAACGCCGTTAAAGACATTTATACATTTTAAAATCTAACCGTTGGGGTAGGGATATAGTGACGTTCAAAAAACGCCGCCATAGCCATTATTTTTATTTTTTTTATTTTGAAAGTTGTGCTAATTTTATATGGTTGAAAAAAATACCTATCATAAACAATTATTAAGAACTAATAATTGATGTTTATTAAAATAATAAATAAACTAAGTTTAAAAACAAAATTAAAAATAAAAAACAATGCAATAAGATGTGATACATGTACAATTACATAATATATCTAAATACAATATATTAGAAATCCGTGAGGATTTATTTACAAAGTCAGGCTTGAGAACTCATGCAGAAAGCAGAGAAGACATCCATACTCCTAATGACACAATACCGATAGTAGCAAAAGCTTGGCCCAGTTCATCAACAAAAATTTCTTTCTGAACAAGGCAAACTTTGCCAATCTGTCCTCCTGCAAAAAGTCACAGCCATGACCAAATTAGAAAGGTTAATATCAGTACAATAGATTGACACATTAGATTAGAATGGAAAACATTAGATTAAATTAACTTAATGCATACAAGTGCATACCCCAAATCAACAATGATGATGCTGACATTATCTTGTGAACGTCGGTCCTGTAATATAGATAAATTTGCAGGTATGATCAAGCATTGTGCAAGAAAAATAAACATCCATGCATCAAATCAATGAAAGGTGATCTTTACAGAGGATCCATAGAAACTTGATATGTTTTAAGAACGTATAATTGAATCAAAAATAGTTTTCAAACAAGATGATCTTTAAGTAGTTTAATGTCCCTAATTATTGTGCCCAAAAATATTAGAGAATAAACATAGTTATCCTATTAAAAATCTCTTCAAAACCAAGTGTCATAGAAGGAAGTCAAACAAAGTTGAAGAATAAAAAAAAGAATACCTCTCTGTTTCAATAGTCCTCTTTGCAAGCATAAGTGTCAAGAAGACTGGAACCATTGCAGCACACAAATGCTTAAGAGTGTGCCCACTGACAATATGATATGTCCATTTATAAATTGGTTTATCTGCAGCTTCTTCAACCTTAGCTAAAAGATAAAATCTTGCATGTTATGCAATTAAATGTTACTCAGAATGGCACAAAAAACTAACAGATTTAGTAAACAGAAGAGCCCACATGATGAAATATACAAACCTGCAGCCCAAAGCCAGTATGTGGAATGTGTGTACATTGGAGGCAACAAGATAGCCATTATCGGAATTACAATGCAAGGAACAAACTGAACCAGTGCATATGGGCAGAGGTCATCAAAAAACCTGCAGGTTAATGCACAAGTCAACATACAATAAATGTTTACTTGGAATTATAGGGTCATGCTCATGCAAATATCTTGGCAAAATTAACTTTAGATGTGAATCATTTGTAGGGGAAGAATGGACACCGTTCCCTTTTGCTCATCGATTCTTTCAATTATAAAGATTGCCATGATTGACGTGAATGCAATAGTCATCTATATAATTATTGATCAAATGTCATAACAGAAAAATATTGAGGACATTTTAAATAGAAGCTCAGGCAAGACGAAGCTCACCTGCAAACGATCCCATACAAGAATAGCGTCATTTGGCTTGAGATGATAATAAGAGGATCCAATACCAACAACAGCCACACCAATGAAAAAAGACGTCCAACCCCACACCTCACCTTGCAACCTAAACATATATTTAGATGTTATTGTAATCAGTAAGTATAATTTATAAAGGATCTTCTCACTCCAGTAGTCCCGTATAATCAGGATCATGTAGAACATAATACCTCAGTCTAAAATAGTTCCCACCTTTAGAGTATGGACTGTGGCAAGTAAGGGGCCATCAGCGATCTGCCCTGTTGTAGGTGGCCTCTGTGAATAACACCTAGCCCTGCTGTTGCACTGAATTTAGCTCAATTAGTAGCCCTGCCTAGCCACACCTGATGAGTTACACAAACAAGGAGCCATCAACTTGTGCAGGAAGGTCTTAAATGTTTCAAGATAAAGGCCTTGTAGCTGTGAGGAGGCATACTACGCCGCTGCCCTAAGAGAGCAGCCAGATTGTTGAGGTTGCTTTCAGATGTCTATCCACTTTTGCTTCTCTTCATCTGTAAGGTAATTCATCAACAAAGATTAAATCTTATTTCCTTCTCAAATGTGATGAAATTGGTCTTTTGTGATCTTTAAGGCAGTCAATTGCAGGTAGATCCTCATATAACATTTAGTTCCAAAAAAAATTATAAAGGGGTTAGCTGTAAATTTTAAAACAAATAAGATAAACGACACCAAACAATAACCACCAAACAATAAAATGATTTTGCACATCCAAACACAACCTTAAATTTTTACTGGGCTGCTGCTGGTGGACTGATAGCCCTTTGAAGAAACTTACCTACTTAGCCTTCTGGTGTGGCGTTTGAGATCCATGTAGGTTCCCCTAGAATGGATGCTACAAGTAGAGACGAGAGAATGAACTCACTCACTCAATAGTCAATCCGAAATAAAATGTCTTAACTCAATGAGGAATATAGATTTAATCTCTCAAATTTCCAAATCATATGATCTAGCACTGGCCAGCTACTAACTGTAAGCTTATCGGATTCCAAATAAACTCACAAACTAGATAAAAGATTTTTAAAAAATGTATAATAAACTAAAACAGAAGCAACGAAACTTATTTCCTTCTCAAATGTGATGAACTTGGTCTTTTGTGATCTTCAAGGCAGTCAATTGCAGGTAGATCCTCATATAACATTTAGTTCCAAAAAAAATTATAAAGGGGTTAGCTGTAAATTTTAAAACAAATAAGATAAACGACACCAAACAATAACCACCAAACAATAAAATGATTTTGCACATCCAAACACAACCTTAAATTTTTACTGGGCTGCTGCTGGTGGACTGATAGCCCTTTGAAGAAACTTACCTATTTAGCCTTCTGGTGTGGCGTTTGAGATCCATGTAGGTTCCCCTAGAATGGATGCTACAAGTAGAGACAAGAGAATGAACTCACTCAATAGTCAATCCGAAATAAAATGTCTTAACTCAATGAGGAATATAGATTTAATCTCTCAAATTTCCAAATCATCTGATCTAGCACTGGCCAGCTACTAACTGTAAGCTTATCAGATTTCAAGTAAACTCACAAACTAGATAAAAGATTTTTAAAAAATGTATAATAAACTAAAATAGAAGCAACGAAAAGGAAAAGTAGGCGTTTACAACACAAACAAGCTATTTAAAGCAGAGCAGGTTAGGAACAAAAGCTTGAATGTATTCCATGTTGCAAGAATATTCATGTAATCTTTTTTAGGGATCCTCTAAGGAAAACATCTGTCCATATCTTCTTTCTCTCCCCTCCCCCCCCCAACAATGAAAACAGCAGTGCATCAAACTTCAAACAATAGTACAGGGTAATGAAGCAAACAAATCCTCACTCATAAGAAATAAGGCACTCCAGTTCTGGGGCCTCTCATCCGGTTCTTTTCCTCTATTTTAGTGAAGAACTTCACACCTCTCTCCTAACAGACAAAGGGGTAAAACACAGCACCCATAGAAAATTCAATTAATCAAATCTATATAAATGAGCCAAAAGTCATAACCAAGTTAAAAGAGTGAAAAGTTTAGTGGCAGTACCATATTCTCATCGAAGCTCAATATTGAAGCTACATTACCACAGCGATAACAGTAATTTGGAGCTGACCATACCTGATAAGCCAAGAAGCACATGGTAAAATTAATTAAAATATCACCAAATTTGAAGTGATGTTATATACACTAGTCATGTTACATAGACTCAAGTCCCCCTATCAAGTGTGGATATTATACATCTAAACTCCCAAATTTCTTAGCATGTTTCTCTTATTTCTCAAGGTAGAATACTAACTTTATGTAAGACAGTGTAAAAGCAACAGAAAATGAAAAAATAAAAAACAATTTCTTGGTATTCGTGTTTTATTTCCTAAGGTGGAATGGTGACTTTTCTTCAAGATGGCACTTCACTTGCTCTAAAGCAATCATGTCACAAAGAAACATAATAAGGGAGGTCTATCAATTAATTACACAGTAAATTTGCATAACTAAACATGCTTGTTGGGCCCAGTTTTGACTGGACATGTCGACACACACCCCATATCCTTACTCCAGCCATATGTTTAGAAGTGTCCATGTAACATAATACACTGAATTAAAGATTCTAAATACAAATTGATTGAACAATCAAAATTAAAAGAGCAATTTTCCTTCAATATTTGTTGATTATGTAGTAATAGTAGTATATTGAACTCAATTTTGCTAACTTTGAAACATAACAGAATTTCAACCTTTGTAAACACAATTAAGTACCGCTACACACATTGAATCCAACCAATAAAGAATCTTTGCATCTTATAATTTGTAATTTGCAAAGGGTACTAGACCAATAAAGAATTGACTCAAAAAGGAAAAGAAAACACAAATAAGTAGAATTCCCCTTTACATCCTATGTCCTAATTATCAGTCTATGTAGAGGAAAGAGGAAGGCAAATAGAAGTTACTCCACAAGACTACCTCTGCTCTAGAAAGGTAGAACATAGAAAACGAAACTGACTTTAAATTTATATCTGATAAGCCAATCAACACGTGTTCATTTAGAATATACACAAAATAGGTTGTTGTTCTGGCATCATGCAGTTGAATTTGCTGTGACATAATCATATAACATACACAAAATAGGTTCAGAACGACAGCCGAGCAAATATGAATGCCATTCATCATCCCAATTTGAACCTCTAGCAGATAGCAGATCACGTTTGGATGATACCGAGAAGGTGTTTCTGCAAAGAATTTAGACAGAATTCTCGTATCAGGCAACTGAGTTACGAATTCAAGCAATCTACTAGTTAAAATTTGTTGATGATTCAATAGAGGGAAAAAATATAGTAAAAAAATATGGTGAGTCATTGTAGAAGGAGAAATAGAGGGAAAAAATATAGTAAAAAAAAATGGCTAGCATGAACATATATCATGACTGGCTAGTCATACATCACCGCAAAGGTTAAAGGACAATAAACTAATTATTCTTACCAACACTATATATAGAGAGGGTGTATCCAATGGCAAAGAAATAGTATAACAGTAGTTAAGCGTGCATTGCATACTAGCAAAACAAATCACAGCTACTAAGAAAAAAAATGTCCAATATGAGCATGTTCACAATATGTAAACAGTGTACAAAATACAAAGAGTGGACCAAGGAAAAATTATTTAGATTTTGGAGGGGCCAAAGTAAAATTAGATAGATTTTGATTGTTTAGAGGACTCCCCAGATGAAAGTGGAAACAAACCCGACACAAAGGAACATTTGGAAGCACTCTAGAGTGCTTGATGTTCAGCAATAACATAATCTTTGTTTTTGTCCAAAAAAAAAAATTCAGTTTGATAGGTGAACTGAAAAATAAATTGAAGTGCAGGTTAATGTTTTTTGTTTCAAAAGTGTATACAAAACAGACCGGATAATGCTTTTTGGGCACGACACCAACATCACCTTTCTCATCAAAATCCCTAGCCTTTCTCTTTGCCTTACCTTCGCAGTCTGCTGCTAAATGACCCAATCTTGTTGTCCAGGGGTAAATACGACCTGACAAGTAAATTGTGAAAACAAACTCAGAAAATCAAACCAAACATGGCATTTATTTCTCATTTCCATACCTAACCATTTTCCCAACTTAAACAATCGTGCAAATTTGAACCAAAAATGTTAGTCAGGAGTCTTCAGAAAAAATGAATTATTTTATCGTAATACACTAACCTCCCTGAGTATTGCAAAATGGACTTCATGGGTAGCCAAAGCCAACATGATTAAATCAACATCCTGTTATGTGGCAACATGTTAAAATTCCAATAAGAACATTGCAATAACACTAAAGAACAGTAAAACAGAAAGAAATTTATAATAGATTCATAGATAGGATAGAGAAGACGTACCAAACCATACAAGCAATGGCATGTGTTGGGATCATAACCAGGAAGGTTTCTTTGAAGACGAATATTCGACATAATTTTATGTTCCCCTTCACCAAGAACATTGGCATCAGAAAGAATAACCTTCAAAAGAATAGAACATTGCAATAACACTAAAGAACATCAAAACAGAAAGAAATTTATAATAGATTCACAGATAGGATAGAGAAGACGTACCAAACCATACAAGCAATGGCATGTGTTGGGATCATAACCAGGAAGGTTTCTTTGAAGACGAATATTCGACATAATTTTATGTTCCCCTTCACCAAGAACATTGGCATCAGAAAGAATAACCTTCAAAAGAATAGAATGATGAGCAAAAAATAGATCACTCGTCCTTCATCATGACACACTAAATGCAATGACATCAATTATTCGCAAGAGAAACCAAATATGATTAGTGAAAACTGTTATTCCTAAACACCAAATACCCAATACCCAACCTTAAGTACTCAGTAATTGTAATAACATGATACCTGTTATTCCTAAACACCAATACCACTCCCGGCATCTCTGTTTCCATTTTTTCAATACAAAAACAATTTGAGAGTCATGAATATGAATTAATCACTTGATATATATATCCAATGCAACAAGTGGAGTATGAATCCAGCTAGCAACCTTAAAAAACAATTTAGTTTTCTTTATCCATGCTATCTCTAATTTCTAGAATTAAAAAATTAAAAATTTTAAAAATAAATTAAAAAAATAGGAGGAATAAACATGATGGTACTAGGATTCTAGGGCATTTAACATTAAATAAACCAAGGCTAACTCATTTGTTGCTTAGAGTCAACATAAGAGTAAAAGAGCAGATAACTAACATAGGTGCACATACATGTTGCTAGTTTAAGAGAATAAAACAAGAAATCAATACTTTGATTTTGTTAGATGCTCAAATCCATCCAGTTGATTGAGAAGCTCCAGCATCGTCCCCTGCACTTCACTATCACCATTACCAGATCCAGATTCCATTCAAGCAGATCCAATGCTGTCGATTTCATCCATAAAGATGATTGATGGAGCATGCTCCCTGTGCAACAAAAACAAAAATAAATCACACATAAAACATGTAAGAGGAACTATATAACACTTCTGTAGACTAAAAAGATTTATTAACTTGATATACAAGATATTATAATTTTTTTGCAATAACAATGTTATCAATGAAGTCGGACAAACCTGGCCATAACAAAAAGTTATCTAACCATTCGAGAGCCCCCACCAATATACTTCTGAACCAACTCAAAACCAGAAACCCTTATAAAGGTACAATCAGTATAAGATCTAGAGAGAGAGAGAGAGAGACGGTGGAGCACACTACCTTGCCAGTGCAGATGATGGTGGCGACGGAGCTTCGAAATCGCTCTGAATCCCGAAATCGATCTGAATCTTCGAAATCGCTCGAAATAGCCGATTGATATCGATCTGAATCTTCGAAATCGCTTCGAAATCGCTCTAAACAGCCAATGGAGCTCGTGTTCTTTGAAGCTCTCTTCAAGAACAGCCGATTGATCTTTCGAGAGACGAAGCTTCTTCCTAGAGTTATCTCCTCCGTCTTCTTCGTCGCTGAGAGAGAGAGAGAGAGAGAGATGTCTGCGTACAAGGTAAGAGAGATGCGTGCGTAGAAGAGAGTGGGCTCAGATTAAAAAATAAGGGCTTCAAAAAAAGGGGCGCGTGTATCTACCGCCTTTAGAGGCGCTTTTAAACGCCTTTAATTAGAAAATGGTGCCGTTTTGGTTAAAAAAATATGCGGCGTTTAAAAACGCCGTTAAAAATTAGAAAACGTGATGTTTAATAAAACGCCGTTAATTAAACGCCGTTAAATCCTTGATTTCCTGTAGTGGTGGACTCAAGCTATGTGGTTTGGCAGCATGTTGAATATAAGAATTGAGAAGGGGTTTGTGGCGGATTGGACGACAAAATGGATGAAATCAATGAGGCAGAATAATGGAGATAATTTGGTCCTTAGCAAAATTGTATTCATTGGGTGGTATATCTGGAAAGCGAGAAATGATTTTTTATTCAATTATGTCCCTGTTAACTCCATTTACACCATTGAGAAAATAGCCTAGGTGTGGAATGAATACCAGGACCATTGTCAGATAGGCCAATCTGTTAATACTGAAACCCCACTTCAAGCACTGATGGAGGATGAGGGCTGGTAACCTGCACCCACTGGGAAGCGTAAGATCAACTGTGATGCAAGTTTTAACAAGAATAGAGCCATAGCAACTGCAGCTGTTATTATTAGAGACTCCGCGGGCCACGTTATTGATGGCTTTCCAACTTCCTCCGCCTTTGTGGCTGAAGCACATGCTATGAGGTTGGCTGCTATGATGGCCCAAGCTTGTGATCTGTCTTCCACCATTATTGAAAGTGATTGTAAAGAAGTTATCAAACTGGGAGTGTCTGAAACAGTGCCTGTATGGGAAGGGTTGGCAATCTTGCTTGACATTCGCCAACTGGTCAGAGTGGGGAATTTGAAGTGGAACAAGAAGGTAGCTAATTAGGTAGCAAAGACCCATGCTTGTAATCTCTTACCTTTGAATTGGGTGGCTAATCCACCTGCAGCTCTTGCTGCCCTTATTTGTGCTGAGGTACCCTCTTCTCTTCGTTGATTCCAATACATACACCCATGTTCAAAAAAAAAAAAAACAAAGAATTAAAATAGGCTTATTTATAGAAGGTTAATATTGGAAACTAGTTAGCTGTGGACTGATTGGAAAATAAATAGTAAAAGTAAGATTTATGAAAAAATACCCTTATATTTTAGAGGTTTTTAATTAAGTTTGGTAAGAAATTTTTTTTTTTTTTTCTTCCTTCCCCTTTTGTGCTGGAGAATTTTCGAATCTTGACATTCACTCCAAAATAATTCTTATATTACGAGTTGTCTTTTCAACTAGGGCTGCAAACGAACCAAGCCGAGCCGAGCTTTGCTGAGCTCGAGCTCGGCTCGATAAGAAACTAGGTTCGAGCTCGGCTCAGCTCGGCTCGTTAACATTAATGAAACTCGAGCTCGGCTCGGCTTGATAATTTTTTTTAAATATTATTTATATAAAAATATTTAAATAAAAATTATTATTTATATTATTTAATATATAAATAATATATTTATTATATAATTTAAATAAAGATAAACAAGCCGAGCTGACGCGAGCTCGAGCTCGGCTCATTTACTAAACGAGCCTAATAATCGAGCTCGAGCTCAACTTGTTTACTAAACGAACCGAGCGGAGCCCTTAATGAGCCGAGCTGAGCTTGTTCATGAACAGCTCGGTTCATTTGCATCCTTATTTTCAACATTTCAACTCAATAAACTTACATGCATTATAGAACAAAGTAAAAATAAGTTATTTGAAGTTAAGCTTGATTGAATTCCGTTTGAGTTCGACTCGAAAAATAAATAAAGTATGTTAAACACATTTTAAAAACTAGTTAAGCTTTTAAATGTGTTTAAACAATTCACTACTTGAATCTAATAGGCTCATTTACAACCCTAACATATGTTTTTTTAAAAAAAAATCATTCTACCTCTAAAAGGGTATATATCACAAACGTCATAATATAATTTTCAGTCATAATTAAAAAAAAATATAATGAATCATAATCAAATACTACATAAGGTATAATAAAAAATCTTTTCAATCATAACTAAACTAGTGTCATAACTAATATCATAATAAACCATAAATAACATCACAATAAGTCATAATCGAATTATAATCAAGTCATAACTAATATCACAATGGGTCATAAGCAGAGACCACAAACATCATAAGTGGAGTATATGGTGTGTATCATTATCTTCACTTTAGAAAAAATTCAAGTTCCAAAATTCAATTCCTCTATTTTTGTTTGGTTGACTTGAAAATTCCATATTGCAACATCCGGTGATGTGGGATGAAGTTCAAAATTTTGTAAATGGCAAAAACTAAATAAATAAATAAAGTATCACATGTGATTATGTTTTGGCCAAAGATAAAATTATTGAAACCTCGACTACCACAATGCAATTACTATTTCAATGAGAAAAAATTCAATTATTTTGTAAGACACATTTGAATCAAAATAATAATAATAAGCGTACACTTGTATTCTGTGTATTTTAAGGTAAATTGTAACTTAGATTAAACTAAAATAAAGTCAGGATTTGGAAGGTATAAATATACACCGATTTACATTGTTCATGGATTTTTCACCCCTCTAGTATCATTATACAATTGATTTGCAATGAGGATGGTAAAAAATGTGTAATCCCTTTATTATATGATGATCCCTTTCATTTCACATGATATCAGACTGTGCAATCCCTCTTTCATTGATTTCCTTCATTAGCCACGATATTGGTATATTTATTGTCTTCACAGTATATACAGTTAACTGTTGGGATGAATAACCTAGCTACATGCAATTAAAAGCAATCTTGCGAAGTTGATGATGCATGTTAACTCTCTACACCTAACTGTTGCAACCTACAACAAAATTCTCTTGATGATCTTTGATGGTACCTCCTCAGACTATTCTCCATGAGCTCATTTAGCTATTAAGTAGGCTCTCCTTGTTCAATTTGCCTCAGGTTCAATACTGTATTAGGAATGGCTAGCTATGGGATTATTTATTGTTTGGGCTTATTTGTTGCGCAGCTGAGGGGCCTGGTTTTGCTGAACCTGTTGGTGCTTGATCTGTAAAAAAAAATTTCTGATTACATGGACCACACTGTAAAAACTTAATCTGTTTTGGTCTGCTATGTGCTGGGGTTGCTCACTGGGTTGCTGAATTTGTAAATCTATGTATATTTGTGAAATGAGGTCTGGTTTATAACTCACAGCTTCTGTGCAGGTCTTGGTCTCAGGTCTGGTGTGTATGACCTGATATGTTTGCTCTATTTTTGTTATATTTGTCCTTTTCAGGGTGTGTTTTTGTGAGCTCAACCTTGGGGGGTAAATCTGCCCTGCTGGTGTCCAGGTGTAGTTGTGTTTTTCCACTGATCCCATGTAGTTGTGCTGTTAGTCAGCTTTGTGAATTGGCTATGCAGCAGCATCTTGTTTTGTTGTAATGGGTATTAGCTCTGGACTGGGGCATTTGAACTGAGGCATTGTTGCTGCACAATTCTGGTTTTGGCTGCATAATTCTGTGCTGCTAGTTGGCTATAAAATTCTGTTCTTCACTGATGTTAGCTGGCTGCTAATGGAGTATTCAACAATTTGCTGGAAGGTGAAGCTATGCTAGGCTGCTTAGGTGTTGGGAGTTGCTATCTATGGATGTGCACTAGGAATTATGAGCTCAAGGATTTAAGCTGATCTGTCGAAGTATTGCTCAGCTCTGTGTTGATTTGGGTCTGTTGCTCTGTATTGGTGGGATTTTTCTGAATTTTTGTCTGCTGGTGTATCACTTGATGGCCTTCGGGCTTATGTTGTTCTTTCCCTCTTTTTCTTGTTGGTTTCTCACCAACTTTCGATGGTGCTAGCAAATGATTGGGTATCCTCCTTGGTGCCAACCTAGTTGGGATTGGGGGGTGTACTTTGATGCTTTTTGCACCTCTTTCTTTATTGATGATTTTTCGTATGTAATGTATGTTTTCTCATCAATAAAGTGTTTTTTTGCTGATAAAAAAAAAAAAAGTAGGCTCTCCTTGTGCCACATTGATTTCATAACTCATGTTCTTGCAATTTATATACCTCCTTGGTCTAGAATGAGTCTAGTATACTTGGGTTGAAGTCTTGGAAACCCATATATTGTATGGTGGTTGGACTTGGACTTCGACTTTGACTTGGTTCATGTGTGAACAACATGAGTAGATGTTTTTCATCTCCAAAATTCTATTTTTGCATGATCAAAATAAATCTTTGGCTTCTTATTTCAAATTATTACAAATTTGCAAATTTTATTTTATTTATTTATTTTATTTTTTTCACTTCCTTTGTAGGCTTCAATCTCATATATCATGAAATAAATATTTACTTTCTCTTTCTTCCACTTTTCTTCTATATCCTTGGACATCCATTGTTAGAAATTCGAAGGATTGCTTGTGATTGTACACAACCAATCATGTCGTTGAATCCTAGAGGATGATCACCAAGAACCTATCTTTGCCAAAAACAAACTCTCAAGTGAGAGCGAAATCACTTTCTAAGATAGCATATTTAGTTCCACACCTCAATTGAAATTGGATAAGATCTTTTCTCTCTTATTTTACATTCATTGTTCTTGATTCATTTGGGAATTGTTTATCCATTTATATTGTTGAAGCACTTTTAATCTAGATGAGCAATATGAGTAGATCCATTTTCATCTCCAAAGTTTTGAGTTTAATTACATGATCAAAATATATATTTTTTTTCTCCCTTAACAAACTTCAATCTCATATTTTATGCAATAAATATTTACATTACCTTTTTAATTCCTCTACCTTCTATAATTTATGGGTCAGATTTACAAAATAAGACACGGAAATATTGTTCTTCCTCTTTTCTTCTATATCATTGGGCATTCATTGTTACAAGTTCGAAAGATTGTTTGATAATGCACACAATCAGTCACTACAAGAATTAACACTTTTGGCAACAAAAAAATTGGTCGCTAAAAGTCTATTTTTGGTCGGCAAAAGTTATCTGCGACCAAATTTTTTGGTCGCCAATTGAGGGTCGGCAAAAGTAATTCGCGACCAAAATTTTGGTTGGTCGGCAAAAGTCGGATTTGCCGACTAAATTATTGGTCGCGAATCATATCATTACCGCGACTAATTCATTTAGTCGCTAAAACACTTTGGTCGCGAAAAGTGATATTTTCCCGACCAAAAATTTTGGTCGCCAATTATCACATTCAACGACCAAAAAGTTTGGTCGCCAATTGTGACATTCCGCGACCAAAAATTTTGGTCGCCAATCGTGACATTCCGCGACCAAAAAGGAGGGTCGCCAATTGTGACATTCCACGACCAAAAAAGGTTTTGGTCGCCATTTGTTACTTTTCGCGACCAAAACTTTTGGTCGGCAAAAGTGAGTTTCCACGACCAAGAGCTATTTTGGTCGGCAATAGATGTATTTTTTGCGACCAAAACTCTTGGTCGGCAATTGTCATTTTTTGCCAAAAAAAATAATTTATTTGTCGCGACTAATAAATTGGTCGCCAAAGCAGGAAAACAATACACCTGTAATTCCTAATAATTCATTCAATCCATAATAAACCTATAATTTTAAAGCATCATTCAAATTAACTGAATCATTAACATTTCGAGGGCACATACATAATTCATTAACATTCGATTTATTCAATTTCTGTCAAACAACCAGACATCCCCACCATGGTGTTCCACCAGACATTGTTCACACAAAATAATGACAACACAAAGAATCCAACAACACCTTTCTAACTGTCAAACAACCTACTTCCAAATTCTTAAATTCCCAAAACACTAGTGTACATTATATACATCCTATTATAAAACTACATTCCAATTCAAACTGAAACACCCTAGTTTTAGCAAGAACAAAAAGAAACAATTCTACGAGTAATAATATGTGGAAGCTTTGACTAAAACAAGACCACTTTGGGTAACAACACTTCGAGGACATTGTGGACGCTAAAGGGTTCACACTTGGCGAACAGCATTTCCTTCAATATACCTGTGACACAATTTATCATTAGGCATTTCACCTAGTGTTGGGTAATTGCATTATTTGCTTGTACTGGATTGCAAGACATAAACCACATTTCTTTCAGAAAGTGTGCTTATAGAATGCATCCGGGATTCTCCCAGTAAATTGATTATGAACCAGGTACCTGCAATGAAAGCAAGCTTAAGATGTTATCACAGAGAGATCATCTACAATGAGATACAAATAGTAAAGCATACAAATACTGTAGGGAATAGAACATGAAATTTACAAATGTCCGAGTTGTTCAGAGTGCCCAATTCTGGTGGAATTCGCCCATAAAACGATTTTCATGTAGATAGAGGTAACGTAGCAGAGGAAGATTAGCTAATTCTTTGGGGATTTCTCCTTTGAAATTATTGAAACTCAAGTATCTGCAGAAGATTCATTAATACACATTAATAGTATATAGAATAAATAATATGAGAAAATTCCAACAAAACTAATACCCTCAAGATGATGAATTACTCACAGATGGGTTAGACTTCTTAGTTCACCTATTTCAGGAGGAATGACATCTTGCAACTTATTCCACCTCAATTGCTGGAAAGAAATAAGAAAGAAAAATACTGTAAGTAAACAAAAAATTAGAAACAAAAAAGATCAGAGCAAGTGGGCTAGAGTTCTCAAAATTGGAGAAATGTTTTCCACATGAAGTGGTTGGAAAAAAAAATTTCAATACATTGAATAACAGACAACTTGTTAGTTAATAATAGGGTTTAAATTATACATCAGCAATTTCAATCCTCAAAGAATGTATTTGACTGGAGCAACTCATTTGATCATCTGACATCATACACTCCATTCACACAGACCATGTTTTATAAAATAGGAAATATTTAAATTGCTCAGCCAGTTTTTATTCATTCCACCCTAATGTGACATGCTCTCCTCCAGATAGTCCAGACCCTTGAGAAATCAAGGGTGAAAACAGTAATGTTTGAAGGGCAACAATCTGTACTCATCCACATTTATTTTGAAAACAACAGTAAAATTAACACCACCACAAACTCTTTTGGAAAACATAGTAACACTTTTTCCTTACTAATAACAAACAATGCTATGCTTCCTATAAACAAAGATCTCATCCGTATGTTGTAGTATGCTAACAGTTTTTCATCAAACAACAACAAATGAGTATATTTGCAGGTACATTAATAGGATTTTAATCAAATAATCGAAGTATTTGGTTGGTTACTACCCTTGCATTGAATGCAACAATGTATTGCATCTTGAAACAATCATTTTGAGGACATTTACCCAACCTGGTTTTGCAGTAAAGCTTCATCATTAAGCAAGAAATGGTTTGAATGTGATCAACACCCCGATTACTTCGATTACATTCAGGTGGAAGAAACCATCTGGTCACCTGCATTCAGATGAACAAATACAACTAAATATAGATTTCAGAAGCAATAAAATTGAAAGTATTGCATTTTTTTTAAAAAGCCATACACAGTAGTTTAAAATACATTGATAGCAAAGGAAAAAAATGCAATACATTGATATGGCAGTACTTGTGAAATTAGAAATCAATTTATTTATAATGACGTGAACTACTATATGTCATGAATTATTATATGTCATTTCTCAAAACCCAACCTACGCGCCAATGCCATATCAATATGAATTAATTTCAAAGTTATATTATAAAAATTTTCTTCACATTTTTTTGTCGATACTTTGAAGTGATCACTTTAGTATAGGCGTAAATTAAGCAATGACCAGTCACTTTATAAAGTGTACCATTCTTTTTAGGACCTTTGAGTAGCTTTTAGCCAATACATCTTCATCTTCGTGATGATATCATCAGGGGAGAAAGACAGCATCAATGGTTTTATGAACCAATTGATTACTGAATTGGTTTCTCCATATCTTCAAGAAATTAGAATTCATTCACATGGACTCCACTGTCCACTCAAAGAACTAAATACATGGGTGTCCATTGATGCTTTGAAGCTTCTCTCAAAGAAATCAAAATTACCATGGACCAAAAAACATGTCACGTGACCTTTTTCAAAGTTTGACAGAATCACACACCATTCCTTTTAGACTGAATAAAATATATGATCTATGGAGCAAGCACTTCTAAGTGCACAGAAAATAAGGTAAAACTTTATTTTCTCTATGATATGATATGATTAATGACTTCACAGACATAGGTTGATAATGAATAAGCATTGGTATAAATGTTGTAACATTATTAGCACATCCTTTGCTATAAACACTAGGCAATAATTTTGTTAATGATAGTTTTAACACTTCATATTTGAAGCTAAGGAAAAAAAAAATTACGTCATATTTTAAACTACTGTGTATGGCTTTTAAAAAAAATGCAATACTTTCAATTTTTAAATGCAATCATTGATATGGCAGTACTTGTAATATGAAACCAGTGTTTGTAGAGACTTGAGAGCCTGACACCATTTTTTGCATCCGAAATACCCATGTCATGATCTGTAACTCAATTCAACTAATCTTAAAGGAGGACGACCCAATGCACGAAGTTTCCACTAAAGCAGGGTCTGGGAAGCATAAGATGTAAGCAGCCTTACCCCCACTGGGGACGCTAACAGCAATTCTTATCATGGGGGCAAGCCTCTCTTTGAATTGAACACTAGACATATGGTTTGAACACTAGACATATGTTTTGTTCATCATGTATAAAAACACAAAGGGCACTACCATGATTGCCAACAACACGGCCTAACCCTAGCCTTGCCATTAACGAAGTCGACTTTCCCAATCAGTGAACCTACAGTACTACCGGATGCTTCTCTCTCTCTCTTTTGCTCTCTTGTGTGAAATGTGAAGTGCTTATGGGCAATAACAGCAACATACCTAAGGTTATATATAAGGGTTGGCTTAATGAATAGAAATTAATCTCAATTTCACACGTCTCGACTATATATATATGTGTGTGTGTGTACTGATTGGACTTGTCCAGTGAAAACCAGTTTCATCAAAAATCAAAACTAGTGGCAATTTCGACCAAATTTGAAGTATCATACACCATTGTTGCTGACTAAGGAGGAGGGATGAGTAGAGGATCATTTGGTTTGGAAGTCCCATGTAGGGTTGCTTGGCTTTTAGCTTTTGGATGCAGTGAAAAATTATGGGTCGGTGGTGCTAAGACAAATTTACAGAGTGTTCGAACTTAATATATCTATTATTATTATAAGAGTGAAGAATCTGTCATAATATTTGAACTTAAAACTAGTAAGGCAGAACTGCTCCACTTTCTCAAACTGGTGAACTCGGAAAATCCCAAGAGTATCGCGACCATGAGAACCTGCTTCTTTGCAGAAGCAAGAAGAATATCCAGCATATCTAGTAATTCATGCAACATAAATTCAACAAAGCGCAGCCACTAAAGATTTATAGCCAAAAAAATAAAACATAAAAGCCACCATCTAAAAAGCGAAACACTTCTAAAAAGGTGTTGTTTCCATGTTCAACGTTGGACACAGACACTTGTTAGACACACATCCACACATATCGGACACATGACCAAGCATGTCCTATTATTTATTAAAAATGCAGTCATTATCATTTTCATGTTATAAATCTTTTTAAAAGTTGTCAAAGTGCTCGTATCGTGTCATATCTGTGTCCATGATCCAACATTCTTTAGTAGCCATAAAGGCAACTATCATTCATGGAAGTAGTTATAACCTTATTTGGTAGCTGTGAAGGATGGATCCAATTATCTAGATGATAAGCACATAGTGGCTGTTCAGCAGTAGCAATCAAATATTTGTCATCTCCTTCACCAGTTACCTATACAAAAATAACTAAATCAGGCATCCTCTTGTTATGGTGAACTTTATAAAGCGTACCAACAATTTGTTAAGCAAAAAATGCAAAATACACGAACGAATTTAAAAAAAAATTGGATTAAAGTTTCCTGTGTGTTACAAAACTACAGCAAGAGCCTGGTAATCAGAGAAGTACTGCAGCCACATAATATACCGATATATCTAAATACTTTTTGATATACCCAGAGGAAATATATCACATGATTGTGGATATTAAATACCTTTGCCCTACAACTGACTGCATCTTCGAGTTTTCCCTCTTCTAAAGCTGTTTTTGATTGTCTGTCGTCCATCTGCAGATGAGCACGCTGCATGCTGCCGCAAAGAAACGGAGAATACAGAAGTTATACAGAGCACTGACCAATTCAGTGTCATTATTCTACCAAGCAAGTAACATGGTGTATTGCATTGCACTAACACTAATAATAATGTCTACTTTCCCGACATTTCTAAAACACTGTTAAACTGTGAAAAAAATACCGGTATGCAATGTTTACGCCAACTATGCTGCCGTCATCTTAGGTTTCCGGAATCTTTTTATTTAAATCAAGAAACACAAAGAAAATAAACTACTTAAAAGCAGTTAAAACCTCTGGGATATGCAAGCTTTTGTACAAATAATAAAAGAGTTGCTGATCTCCTACTACTTAACTGCATAGAAATTAAATATTTAAAACCGTTAAATGGCTCTCCAAAGAAGATTATAAAAGTATAGGCAGATTAGTCCCCGTTAATGGGGGTCTTGGAAGGGTGGCCTACGTAACATTTGAACATTATGTACCAAGTGGTTTCCCTCGAATTCAAACCACAACCACAAGGCTATTGGACTGATTTTTAACCAATAAACTAGTGACCCCTAGTTTTCTCCAAGCAAGATTTTAAGCAAACAAATACAACCATAGGTCTTATGCACGAGTATAATTTAGCCAAAAATTTCGCTATCAGAAAAATTTTGAAAAAAAATATATGGGAAGGAGAGTGAATGACTAGGGAAATTTCATGTCAGTGAAGGATGGATTTTTTGGACTTGCAGCGGTCTATAAACAGGGTGAGGATTTGGCAATTTAATTAGGCCAGAAAAGAGAAACTTTTGCCATCATAACAATATCATGAAAATAAGGAGGTTAACAAGGCTTGCCATCCAAATTTAAAGACCTAAAAAGCAGAAGACTAGGGAGTGGAGGGCAAGAAAAGCGAAAATATCGTAGGAATCACTCCTAGATTGCCTTAGGCATTACATCTACTCAAAAGTACATTATTCTTTATTAAATTGTAAGAAGACAGAAATATTACACAAACCAACCTCATATTACAAGAATAGGGTATGGAATTTGGAAGTGGCTAGTGAACACACAAATATTACACAAACCAACCTAATATAACAAGAATAGAGTACAGAATTTGGAACTGGCAAGTAAGACAAATCTGAAGACTACTAAACTCCATAAACACAAACCTAACAAAAAAGACATGAAAGAAAATAAGATCCATATCTCATCAGCCTTACCGACTACCTAAAAATTAAAATTTAAGTGAAATCATACCTCATCATTTAATGCAGCAAAAATAGCACTCAAACTATCAGCCTGTGCCAAGAAATCATCAAATCCTCCATTTTCATGCAGAGAGGAAAATATAGAATGCCGAACAGTAACATCAGCATCTGCCACAGCTGTAATAAGAAACTTTGGTGATGTCATACTACTGCTGTCCATTCCATAGTGCCCTTCCTCTACCTCTTCCTCTGCTGCATCCCAAAGGAATTGAGCATACGAAGCTAGAATATAAACGGTTGAAGAAGCTCAAAGCCACAGACAAAAGCCAAAACAAGCAGAAAAAATAGACTTGATCATAATTAATTACAAGTTATAACCCTCTTTTAAAGTAAAGCTATACAATTTCCTTCTGCCCTTGATATAGATGACACCAGGAGCCACTTCTCTGAAAATAGAAACCATGAATTGAACCAACACAGCCTGCAACTATGAAGATTACTTGGTATATTTCTCATAAAAATTTTAAATTTATAAATTCATTACTTAGCACCAGAAATTTTAAGTTTTATCAAGCAAAACCAAGCCGACTCCATTTGATGGGACTTAAGGCTTGGTTTGGCTTGGTATCAAACAAAAACCAAAAACCCTAAATCTAGCATTTCACTTATTGTCTTACATCTTCTCAGCAATAAATCTAGCATTTCACTTAAATGACCCTTCTGAAACATTTATTCCCAGGTCAACATTATCCAATAACATTTACTGCAACACAACAAAAGTAGGAATCACAAAATATATAAACAAGACGCAGTCTAAAAATCTAAGAAACACACTTCAATCGAATTATATGTTACGACATTAAATATATAAACACACAAACTACACATAATGAAGCCAGGGAGACATTGCCTTCATTCTATGCAATTCCACTATGATTGTACACTCGCCATGGAGAATAACAAATTAGCCAGAGAACGTATTGAACCTCAAAATAGTCCAATGCAATTGAATCGAAAAAGGACCCTTCTTAGATGATTGAAAAATAATATTTCTTAAAGATCTTTAAGAAATATACATTTTCATACAGAACTCACTTAAACTCATTTTTATACAGAACTCACTTAAAAATAATATACAGAACTCACTTAAACTACACTCAATTAAGTATACATTTTCATACCTTAAATTTCTTAAGTATACACCTTCTTATGTTTACTCGAGCATCTGCAGGATTAGGAATGCTGTAGCCAGAGAAAGTCACTCTTGGATTGCATAATAATATTTACATGAGCTAAGAAATTAACAAACAGAACCTCATCAACAACCCAATTAAATGAAGAAATTAAACACAAATAAATCTACATGGTCACAGAAATGCCCAAAAACTAAGTAGGAACAAAAAAAAAATGAAATTGTTACTGAAGAATTGTCCTTGAACGAACGGTGCTTCATCACCAAAAGCAATAATAATTCTGGGGAAAAAAGAGAGTACAAAATCAATCAACAAACAGAAAAATAAAAAATAAAAAATTGAATCTTCATCTATTATTATGCAATTTTCTCAAGCTTTCTAGGCTCTGCATTAACACAAATGTTCATAACTAAGCCTCAATTACTTATGTGCATATACATATATGTTGGATTGAAATGTGTGTGTGTGTGCGTGTATGTGTGTGTCTGTGTGAGAGAGAGAAAGGCTTACCTTAGTCGGTTTTCGTTTTGGGGCAAAACCCTAATAGCTCAATCGGAGGGACGGGTTGAATCGGCAAAGGTATCTGAGACGCCGCACCACCGCTGCCGCTGCTAGCTGTCGTCACTCGCTGCTCACCGTCGTTGCTCGCTGCTCGCCATCGTCCCCCCTTGCTACTGCTGCCGCTGCTTGCAGACGTGAGAGTGAGAGAGAGAGAAAGAGAGATGAAATTGGGGATTTTTTTGTTTAAGGGAGTTTTTTGAGTTGGTGAGAAACAAAAGGAGGGGGGGAATTTAGATAGAAAGAGGGGGAAACGAAAAGAAAAGAAGAAAAGAAGAGGAGAGGCGGTGTGACGTGGTTTTATTAATTTTTTTTTTTTTTGTAGTTAATGATTTTTTTTTAAAAAAAAAAATTCATTTTTTTTTTATTTTTGATTTTTTTTTTAGTTACTAAGGTTGAAAATTTATTTGTTTCATTTTTATTTTAATGAAAAAAATTATTATTATTTTTATTTGGTAGAAATTGGGGTAATATTTTAATGAAAAAGTTTTTCTATTAAAATAAAGTTAATTTTTTGTGGTCAATTAAAAACATTTTCTCGCGGCCCATTTTTTTTGGTTACCAAGAATTAGGAACTAATTTTCTATGGTGGAAGAGAGGGAGCGGCAACAGTAATGAAGGTGGTAGATAAGAGGTAATGGTGGTGGTGGTGGTGATGGTGAAGGAAATTAGTGGTGAAGTTGTGGTAGTGGTAGAGGAGATGGCGTGGCGGTGGTGGAGGAGAGGTAATGGTAGTATTAGTAGTGGCAATAGTAGTGGTAGTGGTAGTGGAGCGGTGGCGATGGTGGTAATAATGGTAGTTATAGAGGTGGAGTGGCAACAGTGGTGGTAGTGGAATGACATTTACAGTAGTGGTGAAGGTGGTAGAGGAGATGGGTGGTGAGAAAGAGAGATGAGTGAAAGACAGATCAATGTGCCAGAGGTTATAGTAGTTTTGGCGAAGCTGCATCTTGTCCAGATGCTCTTGCGACGCCATTGACATCTTCAAAGAGCTCGAAAACCAGGAAACTCTAGCTGATGATGAAGATGAAGAAGATGAAGATTTTCAAAAACACTTCTGAGAGATCTGTTTGAAGTAGCAATTGAGCGCGACTCCGACAATGCAAGCGCGTTTGGTTGATTTCATGGCAATTTGGGGCTCGAGAGGGGGTGAGAGGACTTCAATTGAGGGTCGAGATTGACCGGTTAGGTTAGGGTTTAGCTTGTTTCGAGGGGTGTGGTAGAGAGAAGCTTGAGAGAGATCAGGAATCGAGACGATGACTCAAATTTGATTCAGATCTCGACGATCTTTCGGATCCAGCGGAGGCACCAGTGGAGGAGAAGGAGGATGAGCCCAGCTGGTGCAGTAGGTGCTTAGGAGAGAGAGAGAGGCACCAACAGTGAGGTGGTAGTCGTAGAGGTGAAGTGGCGACGGTGGTAGTAATGGTGGTAGTAGAATGGCGTTTGCAGTAGTGGTGAAAGTGGTAAAGGAGATGGGTGGTGAAAGAGAGAGAGAGATGAGTGAGAGACAGATAGAGAATAGAAAGAGAGAGAGAGAGACAAAGACAGAGTGATGAACGAGAGAGAGACAAAGTGGTCGCTAAAAGTGCATTTTCTTGTAGTGGATAGATAAATCGAGAGGAAGTTCAGTAAATAGAGAAGACAGAAGGGAGAGAGTGAGCAACGCGACATAGTGGGAGAGAGAGAGAGAGAGAGAGAGAGAGAGAGAAGGACAAAAAGATAAAGAGATAGAGAGTGAGAGACAGAAAAAGAGACAAAGAGAGAAGAGAGATGAACGAGGGAAACAGAAAGAAAGATAGAGAGAAGAGAGATGAGCGAGAGAGACATAGAGAGAAAAGGGATAAACGAGAGGGAGAGAGAGAGATAGAGAGAAGAGAGATGAGCGAGAGAGACAGAGAGAGATGAGAGAGATAGAAAGGAGAGAGATAAGCGAAGAGACAGGGAGAGAAAAGAGATGAGAGAAGAGATAGATGAGTGAGAGACACACACAGAGAGAGAGACAGATAGATAGAAAGAAAAGAGTGATGAGTAAGAGAGAGAAAGAGAAGAGAGAGAGAGGAAGATGAAAAATATATATATAATCACACCTATTTAAAAAGTATGATTAAAAAGTAGTAGTGTATATATAATCACACTTTAATTAGAAGGTGTGATTAAAAAATATATAAATAATCACACTAA